CACCCGGCACAGCCAGAAGGGGACTGGCCACCCCTCAGAGCCTTGTTCCTCTCTAGGTTTCTGCCTTTCTAGGGAGTTTTTCCTAGCCACCATGCTTCTACATTGCTTGCTGTTTAGGGTTTTAGGCTGGGTTTCTGCATAGCACTTTGTGACATCTGCTGATGTAAAAAGGGCTTTATAAATAAATGTGATTGATTGATTGATTTCATCCGATCCCCATTTAGTGAGTTCAATTTCAAAACTTTCTCCTGCTGAATTTTACTATTTGCAAATGTCAAGACCTTCCCTTAACCCAGCGGTTTGGCATCCTTAATCACCCCATTCCCCATTCTCTTCCCTAATTGCTTTTGTCAAATGCAACGGATGGAAGTACTTACTTGCTGGTTCAGGGAACACTACCATAACGGTATAACTTTCTACTCCAACCTCTTTGTCGAGAGTGGTCCTGCGCTTCACAGGTCTACTCTCAACACTACTCATTGTTTCCCCAGCAGTATTCATCCCTCCATCACCCTCATTGCGATTTCTCTTACTCCTGTTCCTCCTATTTACAACAAGTGTAACTAGCTGATCATCACTGGTTTTATCATCATTATCATTATCAATTGCCCTAATGCTACCATCTGAAGTATCCGCCATGCCGACCCCAGTCACAGTGCAGTTGTGCCAAATCCGCCAAAAACAGAGATACAGCTTGTTAACGACCGTCGTTCGAAAGACCACAAACAAAACCACCTCCTCTGGGTTGTCTCTTTTTATGTGAATTAATTATCTCTAGCAGTGATGGGAAGTTCAGCTCTTTTTGCTGACTCAGATCTTTTCGAGTCATGCAGTCAAAAGAAGGAATTGTTTGACTCATTTCGTTCATTTCAGTCAGTAATGCCCAGAGCACGCAGGACCTCCTACCCGTGAACGATGAACTGAAAACTTGAAAGAGTCATGATTCTACAAGCCTCTTGTTCACATGTCCTTCACCATAGGGGCTTATTGGATCTGTCATTTGTGACTGAGACTTGTAAAAGTGTGCTTTAAACCATGTACATTTGTCTTCATACATTTGAAATTAGGTCTAGTTGTGGCTGCAACCAGACTAGATCTTGAACGACTCTTGGCAGAATGCATTGCTTGACTGCCTTGAGAGTAATACACACAATATCTTTCCCAAACTGCAGCCTCCCTCCCCAAACGATTGGCTCTCGAGTTTGAGTTTGTTGAGCAGAGGCTGTGTATGTTTTGGTTGTACAAAGCTGTATCCATCATAACATTCAATAATCAATTAATTGCGTTCATACTTGCACCATATGCGATCAATTAGGCCTATCAGTTCTAAACATGTATTTTCTTGTCTGCAGCATGATACATTTTCCCACGCGCACATAATAGACAGTTGGTCGGAGTACTGTCTCTGGAGCCGCTGAGCCAGAGGAATGCATATATTCCACACCCTCCATGCCGAGTCTCCGACCATATTTTCAGATCAAGCATAAAAGGCGCTGCATGGTCATTCCGCCGTCTGCATTAGCCGTGCAGCATTTATGGTGATATGGCCTCTGCAGAAGTCAAGGCAGTCATACTTCTTGCGTTTCGCCGAGCAGCGCAGAGTTGTTGTGAAGGAAGTTGTCAAGGAAGTGAGTTTGTGTTTATACAGGACCATGCAGAGGCCATATCGAGCTCCGTACCGCATCACTGTGTGCCTTCCAAATTTTGTAACAATGCGGAGGGCTCCGTATAGTTCCGCATTGACATGATTGGTTAACTGTAGGTGGGGGCGGGAGGTCCTGTATAAACACGAACTCACTTCTTTGACAACTTCCTTCACAACAGCTCTGCACCTGCTCCGTGAATCGCAAGAAGTATGAATGCCCTGACTTCTGCAGAGGCCATATCACCTTAAATGCTGCACAGCCAATACAGACATTGGATTGATCATGCAGCACCTTTCATACTCCAATGCGTTCTGTCTACAACAAAATGTAATAAAATGTTTGAGACAAAAGGTAGTGGGTAGTTCCAGTAATTAGCAACAGCGCTACGTGGCAAAAAAAAGTAATAAACTACTGAAAACACTCAAAATATTTTAATTAAGTTAAACTGCCACAAATATACTGCAACAACAATGGTTTTGGACCTAAAGGCAACTGGGAGCTAATGTTAGTGTAATGTTCACTCCAGGTCAGCAGGTGGCAGTGTGTACTGTTTTGACCACTATAACTATGTGCTTATGCAGTAGACGAAGAGATCCCCCTTCATAACAAAGTATCATGTGACGTGGCTAATCGGAGAGGAGTACGGTAGGTGGCGGTAATGCACCATAATGTTGGATGCCAACCGCCGATAAAACCCACTGAAGAAGAAGAAGAAAAAGAAGAAGAAGTTGCTAGAGTTTTGTTGACCATCGATATCGTTTTGTGTTAATTTAGCAAAGTGTGCAACGTTAGACAGCGTTGGTGAGATGGCGTCTTCAGCGAAAAGACGAGCAGTTGGAAAGGGAGTAAGTCCCGATGATAGTGAGGATAACAGGGGTAGAAGGATTACTTTATCCTATCCCAGGTATTCCTTAAAGAGGTGGGGTTTCAAGTGTCTCCGGAAGGTGGTGAGTGACTCCGCTGTCCTAGCGTCGTGAGGGAGCTTGTTCCACCATTGGGGTGCCAGAGCAGCGAACAGTTTTGACTGGGCTGAGCGGGAACTGTGCTTCCGCAGAGGTAGGGGGGCCAGCAGGCCAGATGTGGATGAACGCAATGCCCTCGTTTTGGTGTAGGGACTGATCAGAGCCTGAAGGTACGGAGGTGCCGTTCCCCTCACAGCTCCGTAGGCAAGCACCATGGTCTTGTAGCAGATGCGAGCTTCAACTGGAAGCCAGTGGAGTGTGCGGAGGAGCGGGGTGACGTGAGAGAACTTGGGAAGGTTGAACACCAGACGGGCTGCGGCATTCTGGATGAGTTGTAGGGGTTTAATGGCACAGGCAGGGAGCCCAGCCAACAGCGAGTTGCAGTAATCCAGACGGGAGATGACAAGTGCCTGGATTATGACCTGTGCCACTTCCTGTGTAAGGCAGGGTCGTACTCTCCGAATGTTGTAGAGCATGAACCTACAGGATCGGGTCACCGCCTTGATGTTAGCGGAGAACGACAGGGTGTTGTCCAGGGTCACGCCAAGGCTCTTCGCACTCTGGGAGGAGGACACAACGGAGTTGTCAACCGTGATGGCGAGATCATGGAACGGGCAGTCCTTCCCCGGGAGGAAGAGCAGCTCCGTCTTGCCGAGGTTCAGCTTGAGGTGGTGATCCGTCATCCACACAAGCAGTGGGGAAAGTGGTGGTGTGTGCTAATTGTAGGGGTGGCCCATGGGGCTGGGGATCAGACATGTCCAGTGCGAGAGAAGCAGGTTGAGGTATCCAGGGTAAGAGTAGAGAAGAAGTTGTCATATGCGGAGGCAGTGAAGAAAGTAGAGGAAGATGGGTCAAGGGGGAGGGATCCTGAGAGAAATGGTGTGAGTAGTAGAGATGTACCAGTACAGAGGGGTAAACCAAAAAGTGATATATGGTTCAGCAAGATTGGATTTTTAGCGTTTATAGCAATGGTTATTAATTGTACTGCAGGGATGGAACGCAAATCAAAGAAAATTGAGGTGGTGGTGGCAGCTGCAGAGAGATATTTGGGTGTGTGAGACTTGACAGCAGAAGAGTTACAGGGAGTGTTAAGTGGTGATGTCCCATCAATTCAGGTTGAGGGCATGAGGTAGGAGTGAGTGTATTTAAACAGTGGAGAAGGGTGGGGTTAATTATTAGTTGTAGTGTTAGATGGTAGGATATTTCTTTGCTTTGGTTTATTTGATTTTTCAAGGAAAGATAAGGGAGTTTAACTCCAGTCTAGTAGGTGGCAGTAATGCAACAAATTGGATGCCAACTGCCGTTAAACCTCATTGAAGAAGAAGCAGTGGCTAATTTGAGGTTTTGTAACCTGACCTTGTAAAATAATGAAGAAAATCAAGAATATTATATGAAATATGGGATAAAATGGGTTTGTAATGTCAATAAATGGCAGTCTTTATCAAAACCATGTAGCTTATTTCTTAGACATTTGTCTATCACCTAGAATACTTGGGAGCAATGACTTTAGCCTAGCTAGCAAGCTAACAGCTAGCTAAGGTAAAGTGCGATGTCTAGCCATTGATGTGCTGTCACTGGTGTTTTTTGGACCCAGTAATGTTGCCTACCTTGCCTTCTTACGTTTGGCACAGACAACTGTGGACTTCTTCTAATGTAAGTCCCACTTGTTTTGACTTATCGATTGGATAGAAATGATTTGTAAAACGGTTTATGGATTCCATGAAACATTGCACAATACATTCTTATTTTCTTTTCACCCAATAACAACAGGTATGTGTTAAGATGTCAGACAGCGACGCCCCCGGTGACCCTGCTGGGCGTTCAGAGGTCGCAGAGACGGAGGCCCCACCACTGCAGCCCTACACTGTGACGCCACCAGACAGTGCTCCACAGACACCACCTGGCGACTGCACCATATATAACTCCACTGATGTCCCCCCAACCAGACTTGAAACCCATTGAAAACCTGTGGTTTGATTTGAAGAATGTAGTCCATGAGCTCAGACGAAAGATATCAAGGATCTGGAAAAATTCTGTATGGAGGAATGGTCTAAGATCCATCCCAATGTGTTCTCCAACTCATGAAACATTTTAGAAAAAGACTCAGTGCCGTTATCCTCGCAAGGTGAGGTATTGAAAGGTATTGAAAAAGGGTGTCAAGTTTGACCCCTACCTTTTTGAGAAATGTTTTTATTACTTCTTGAGCAATTGTATTAGTATAAAATAATATAATTTCTCAAAAATAATGTGCATACAATATAGCTCAGTATTTGAATTATTTACTTTATACAGACATTTTTGGTCATCTTTATAAAGGGTGACCCACTGCATATTACTTCTAGGTGAACCCAGTAATGAGACTGATAAAGGGGAAGGAGATGGAGCATCGGCCATGGGAAGCGCCATGGGAATGTTCTCATCCCTCAACAGTGTTGTTCAAAGCCCTGATGCCTTGGAGTTCATAGGCAAGAAGACCATGGATGTCATAGCAGCGGGAGATCCAGGGTACAAGAAAACAAAGGGTCTGATGAACAGGACTAACACTCTTTCTCTGGTGAATATTGTTGAATGGATGTTCGAGAAGCCTCCTCCAGTGTTGGGCTTACACTTTATTGGTGTTGGAAAGATTGAATTCAAGGTTTTTGTTTTGGCTGAAGGTCTTACGGGAGGCCAAGGAGAGAGAGGAGCAGCAAACAGCCAAGGAGATGTTCTCCGACATGGAAAAGAAGGCCCATTACGGAATGCTGTTCGATGAATTCCAGGGCCTATCCCACCTGGAAGCTCTGGAGATTCTCTCCAGGGAGAGTGAGTCAAAGGTAATACCGAGCAAGTACACATTTTACTTTGTACAAAGAAACAAGTAAACAGCCTCTCAAAACATTATTGATTGTACACAGTGCACAGCCTTCCCTTGAAATCAATACAACTTTTTGCTAGCAATACTTTGCACACTTGTAAAGGGATCACCTACAACCATTGCAACCTCTTGAGATATAAAAATGGCACTTTAAAATCCTCCTGGCTCCTTTTTGTAGATCCAATCTATGACTGAATCAGTTGTCTGTTGTGTGGTGTAGGTGAAGTCTGTTCTGACCGCTCTGTCTGGAGAGGAGCTGGACCAACTTAAAGAGGACCTGGAGCTCATAAAGGAACCTTTCTCTCTGGTGGAGTTTGACGATGAGGAGGTGAACGAAAAGAAAGGTAGCCTACCGTCACAGAACTGTCACATAAAGTCTACTATCACAATGTTACATTTACAGTCTTTTAGTACTCACAACAGAAACAAAATACTTTTGGTGTATGCTTTTTTTCTGTGGGTGATAAGCCAACTGGAAAACATCCAAATTGTTATCTTGTTTTAGGGAAAGATGGCAGTATGTTTCTGTGATAATACAATGAACAAAAGCAATACATTTTGTTTATTCATATTTATTTTCAGATGAAGATGGCGCTGAGTTTCTGAGGGAATTAACAGAGGCCCTGGATGGACTACACATATTCACAACAGCTGACAAACTTGGCAAGGTTGGCACAATACATTTCTCTCTTGATTTAATTTAAAGCCAGTGATCTTTCTGTCTCATGCTTGTGGTCCAATATTATAGCAGTGTTTGATGCCATCTTCTGAAGAGTTTTGGTAGAACTGAGCTTTAAAAGGACTGAGTTCACTACTCGTCTTTGCTTTTTCTAAGTATTTGTGCCTGCAGCAATTTCTATATTCTGCATTCATTGCAATTCAGGCAGCACCTCTTCTCCAGTTGGTAGATCACTAATCTCTAACCTATTTTCTCTCTGCAAACCCCTTATCAGGTAAGTAAGAATGCATGTGACCAGATTGCCCAAATGACCAAACTCATAAAGGAAGAAGGGAATGAAGAGGAATTGTCAAAAACCAATACTGTTGAGGTATGAAAAAATAATACAAAATGTGTGTATCAAGGTCATTATCTGACTGTGACTATTGGAATGGAGCTTTACTCCTTTCTGTTGTAACTACTGATGTGAGTGTTGTTGATTCCTCTAAGGATGTCCACTCGTCGGCCATCAGAAGCTTGGCTGTGCTCACAGCCAGATCAATAGAGCAGTTCCACAAAGTGGCCGAGATGATCCTGTTCTGTACCAGCCAGGAGGTCACTACTCTGGAGCAGGCCAAAATCCTCTCGCAGTAAGTTCCTACACACCATCAGCCATCTACAGAGTATTATATTACTAGTCATAGATACAGTGCCTTCAGAAAGTATTCACACCCCTTGACTTTTTCCACATTTTGTTGTGTTACAGCCAGAATTTAAAATAGATTAAATTGAGATGTTGTGTCACTGGCCTACACACAATACCCCATGATGTCAAGGTGGAATTATGTTTTTAGAAATGTTTACAAATTAATTAAAAATTAACATCTGAAATGTCTTGTGTCAATAAGTATTCAACCCCTTATTTATGGAAAGCCTAAATAAGTTCAGGAGTAAAAATGTGCTTAACCGGTCACATAATAAGTTGCATGGACTCACTCGGTGTGCAATAATAGTGTTTAACATTATTTTTAAATGACTACCTTATCTCTACCCCACACATACAATTATCTGTAAGGTCCCGCAGTTGAGCAGTGAATTTCAAACAAAGATTCAACCACAAAGACCAGAGCGATTTTCCATTGCCTCGCAAAGGGCACCGATTGGTAGATGGGTAAAAATAAAACAAAGCAGACATTGAATATCCCTTTGAGCACGGTAAAGTTATTAATTACACTTTGGATGGTGTATCAATATACCCAGTCACTACAAAGATACAGGCATCCTTCCTAACTCAGTTGCCATAGAGGAAGGAAACCGCTCAGGGATTTCACCATGAGGCCAATGGTGACATTAAAACAGTTACAGAATTGAATGTCTGTGATAGGAGAAACTGAGGATGGATCAACAACATTGAAGTTACTCCACAATACTAACCTTAATGACAGAGTGAAAAGAAGGAAGCCTGTACAGAATAAAAAATATTCCAAAACATGCATCCTGTTTGCAATAAGGCACTAGAGTAAAACTGCAAAAAAATATTTGCAAAGAAATTAACTTTATGTCCTGAATACAACGTCTTATGTTTGGGGCAAATCCAACGCAACACATCACTGAGTAGCACTCTTCATATTTTCAAGCATGGTGGTGGCTGCATCATGTTATGGGTATGCTTGTCATCAGCAAGGACTAAGGAGCTTTTTTTAGGATGAAAAGAAACAGAATAGAGCTATGCAACACATGCAAAATCCTAGAGGAAAACCTGGTTCAGTCTGCTTTCCAACACACTGGAAGACAAATTCACCTTTCAGCAGGACAATAACCTAAAACACAAGGCCAAATATACACTGGAGTTGCTTACCAAGACAACATTGAATGTTCCTGAGTGGCCTAGTTACAGTTTTGACTTCAATCTGCTTCAAAATCTATGGTAAGACATGAAAATGGCTGTCTAGCAATGATCAACAACCAACTTGACAGAATTGAATACTTATTAAAAAGAATGTGCAAATATTGTACAATCCATGTGTGCAAAGCTCTTAGACTTACCCAGATAGACTCACAGCTGTAATCGCTGCCAAAGGTGATTCTAACATGTATTGACTCAGGCGTGGGAACACTTATGTAAATGAGATGTTTCTGTTTTTCATTTTCAATACATTTGCACAATTTTCTAAACATGTTTTCACTTTGTCATTATGTGTGGAGATGGGTGAGAAAATAAATATTTAATCATTTTTGAATTCAGGCTGTAACACAACAAAATATGGAATAAGTCAAAGGGTATGAGTACTTTCTGAAGGCACTGTATAACTCTGGTTCACACCTCCCTGACCTTCAGACATAATGTGTATTTATACCCTCATTGTTATCATATCCTAGTATGTGATTGTGCTCTAACTCAACATTTTGTTCTCCCCTTACAGAATAACAATTATTTTGTGTAAAGAGATATCACTACTTTCCAAGAAGTTCACCTACTGTTTAACTACAATAGGGGTAAGATGGTGATTCTTTACGAACCTAAATCACAAAGTATATTTAGCCTGTCACTAAGCTTACACTCTTCGAACCTACATTCACAGAACTCAGCTTCAGATGTTAATATTGAATGTCTTGCATAACATAACTTTTCATCATGGAACTAATGTGTACTGCATCACTATGACAACTAATAAACTGTCTTTTGAGTTTCACAAAGTAATCAACCTTACAACCCAACCTTACAACCCCTAGTGCGGTCGCTGAGGAATTGCAGTGTGGTCCCCAAAACAAAAATAAATTAAGAGAACAGATTATTGTATGGGACAATATACAAAGTTTTTGGGAAAGATAAGTTGATAAGAGAGATGAAAATGTAATTAATTTAAAGTTATTTGTTGATTAAAAAATGTACCGATTTTTAAGGTTGTCATCAGATTTGGGGAGGGGTGTATGTGTGTCTTTCGGAGGGGTTGGGTAAAAAGTGGAAGTCAAATTTCAGCTGGACCTTGTGTGCAATTGACAAATAAAGTGATCTTTAAAAAAAAATATTGTGGTGGATCTTTGATGTTATGGGGCTATTTTGCTTCCACTGGTCTTAGGGCCCTTGTTAACATTTACATTTACATTTACGTCATTTAGCAGACGCTCTTATCCAGAGCGACTTACAGTTAGTGAATACAAGAATGCATCAAAACCCACAAAGAAATGGTTAATTGGTCACAAAAATCAACATTTTGCAATGGCCATCTCATTCTCCGGACTTGAAACCCATTGGTTAATATATATACAGTGGGGAGAACAAGTATTTGATACACTGCCGATTTTGCAGGTTTTCCTACTTACAAAGCATGTAGAGGTCTGTAATTTTTATCATAGGTACACTTCAACTGTGAGAGACGGAATCTAAAACAAAAATCCAGAAAATCACATTGTATGATTTTTAAGTAATTAATTTGCATTTTATTGCATGACATAAGTATTTGATACATCAGAAAAGCAGAACTTAATATTTGGTACAGAAACCTTTGTTTGCAATTACAGAGATCATATGTTTCCTGTAGGTCTTGACCAGTTTTGCACACACTGCAGCAGGGATTTTGGCCCACTCCTCCATACAGACCTTCTCCAGATCCTTCAGGTTTTGGGGCTGTCGCTGGGCAATACGGACTTTCAGCTCCCTCCAAAGATTTTCTATTGGGTTCAGGTCTGGAGACTGGCTAGGCCACTCCAGGACCTTGAGATGCTTCTTACGGAGCCACTCCTTAGTTGCCCTGGCTGTGTGTTTCGGGTCGTTGTCATGCTGGAAAACCCAGCCACGACCCATCTTCAATGCTCTTACTGAGGGAAGGAGGTTGTTGGCCAAGATCTCGCGATACATGGCCCCATCCATCCTCCCCTCAATACGGTGCAGTCGTCCTGTCCCCTTTGCAGAAAAGCATCCCCAAAGAATGATGTTTCCACCTCCATGCTTCACGGTTGGGATGGTGTTCTTGGGGTTGTACTCATCCTTCTTCTTCCTCCAAACACGGCGAGTGGAGTTTAGACCAAAAAGCTATATTTTTTTCTCATCAGACCACATGACCTTCTCCCATTCCTCCTCTGGATCATCCAGATGGTCATTGGCAAACTTCAGACGTGCCTGGACATGCGCTGGCTTGAGCAGGGGGACCTTGCGTGCGCTGCAGGATTTTAATCCATGACGGCGTAGTGTGTTACTAATGGTTTTCTTTGAGACTGTGGTCCCAGCTCTCTTCAGGTCATTGACCAGGTCCTGCCGTGTAGTTCTGGGCTGATCCCTCACCTTCCTCATGATCATTGATGCCCCACGAGGTGAGATCTTGCATGGTGCCCCAGACCGAGGGTGATTGACCGTCATCTTGAACTTCTTCCATTTTCTAATAATTGTGCCAACAGTTGTTGCCTTCTCACCAAGCTGCTTGCCTATTGTCCTGTAGCCCATCCCAGCCTTGTGCAGGTCTACAATTTTATCCCTGATGTCCTTACACAGCTCTCTGGTCTTGGCCATTGTGGAGAGGTTGGAGTCTGTTTGATTGAGTGTGTGGACAGGTGTCTTTTATACAGGTAACGAGTTCAAACAGGTGCAGTTAATACAGGTAATGAGTGGAGAACAGGAGGGCTTCTTAAAGAAAAACTAACAGGTCTGTGAGAGACAGAATTCTTACTGGTTGGTAGGTGATCAAATACTTATGTCATGCAATAAAATGCAAATTAATTACTTAAAAATCATACAATGTGATTTTCTGGATTTTTGTTTTAGATTCCGTCTCTCACAGTTGAAGTGTACCTATGATAAAAATTACAGACCTCTACATGCTTTGTAAGTAGGAAAATCGGCAGTGTATCAAATACTTGTTCTCCCCACTGTATATATATATTTTTTTAATATTCCATTTAGCAGACGCTTTTATCCAAAGCGACTTACAGTCATGTGTGCATACATTTTTACGTATGGGTAGTCCCGGGGATCGAACCCACTACCCTGGTGTTACAAGTGCCATGCTCTACCAACTGAGCCACAGAGGACCAAACTCTAAATTGTAGAGGGCACTCCATAAGCGCAGACAAAATATCTCAAGAATCTGGAAGAATTCTGTATGGAGGAATGGTCTAAGATCCCTCCCAATGTGTTCTCCAACTCATTAAACATTTTAGAAAAAGGCTCAGTGCCGTTATCCTCGCAAGGTGCAGTATTGAAAAAGGGTGTCAATTTTGACCCCTACCTTTTTCAGAAAAACGTGTTAAACAAAATCTCTTTGAGCAATTGTATTAGTATAAAATAATGTAAAGTAAGAGTACAGATTATTGTACATTTTTGGGATAGATAAGTTGATAAGAGAGATCAAATTTAATTAATTGAAGGTTACATGTTGACGTAAAAATCTAAAATGTAGAGATTTTAAGGTTGTCATCAGATTTGGGGAGGGGTGTGGTTCCCAGAAATTATGGCAAAAAAAATTGCATCCCCGCTGAAAAAGTTTGAAAACCACTGCTTTAAAGAGCGTCAATCCATTAAATAATTAGTTGCAGGGTGGTCGATAACAAGTTGATGCAATCTTTCCATGCTGCAATGCTGACATTAATTATTCTAATGGGAATTCCTTTAGTTAATTAGACCCATAGAGAGTAGTGTAAATCCATCTTTAATAGGTGTATAAGATTCCTGGTTCACTGAATCCAGAGACTAATAAGAGCAAAACAGTTTGTTTTGCAGTCAAATGAAAAGGGAGATGTCCTCAATCCACTCATAACAGGAGTATTTTTGGAGGTTTGTACCTAATTAATTATTGTACATCGCTGCATATCACATCATCATTCTGTCTGAAACCTGAATTGTGTGTGTGTGTGTGTGTGTGTGTGATTTACAAATGTGGTGCATTGTTTAAGTATCTACAGTATGTATGCATCTCCTCTTCTTTAGGCTTCCAACAGTACATCGTACATCCAGGATGCCTTCCAGCTCCTCATGCCTCTATTGGAGTTGTCCCACATTCAAAGGAGTGCTGACTCTACCCAACAGTGACCGTATCCCTCTCTCTGCTGTTCCAACAAGGGACACTGACAGACAAAAGCATTGACATGTCATTGCGGTTTTAAAAACATTTACTTCCTCAGCTTTCATTCATATTTAGTTTGAAGCCTAACTAAAGTGTTACGCCTCAAGAAATGCACCTTTGATAGTGTTTACTCGTCGTGGGGTATTGTGTTGCTGTTGTTGTGTAGCACAGTAGATAAGACCAATGTACATTATATGAAGAGTCAAGAGCTGACATGTTTGAATGACACTGACGTCTGCATTTCTCACAATTACCATGATTCAATTCATTATTCATAACATCAGGACAACCCCAAGTACTTAATATATTAATAATAATATGCCATTTAGCAGACGCTTTTATCCAAAGCGACTTACAGTCATGTGTGCATACATTTTTGTGTATGGGTGGTCCCGGGGATCGAACCCACTACCTTGGCGTTACAAGCGCCATGCTCTACCAATCAAGTATACAGGTGTCTGTATTACAGATGAATGTGTAATCGCTTTGCCATGCCTCCCTATTTATCTGCAGATGTAATTGTATGAACAGAATATAGGTAATTGAATGAATGAACAACTATTTTAATTGTTTTTTAATGTGAAAAGTGGTAACCTGTGTCTTGGAACTGTATCAGGTTTTCCTTGGACTTTTGGAGCTACATAACTGTCAGGTATTTTATGCTTTCTAAATCAAAATAATTTCTTAAACAAAAAATCTATTACAGCTTTCGATTGATTATTGTGGCATACCAAGGTCCAATTGAAGATTTGAATAAATGTGACACTTTGTAAAGCATTTAGTTTGTAAAAGCCTTTGCAAGCCAATGAACTCATGGATAATTGGGTCATTATTGTGCTGAAAACTTACTGTATATGGGGGTCATGACATGACAACAAACCACATTGGGAACTATAAAGTTCAAACTACAGATATGTAGCTAGCTATAACAATGTAATCTATTTTTCTGGGGGGGAAACGGCTGTATATGCTCCGCACTTCAGCAACTACAGTCAGGCTATTTGGGTACCACCCCCAAACACACACTGCGCCTGCGTATATGTTTTTATGACTTCCGATTGAGCAAGGAAGCCAACGTTATCCAGCAACGTTAGCTAGCAAGGACTAGCAGTAGCCTCATAAGAACAATATCATACGACGCATCAGGTAAACATTGTTCTTTGTGGTTTATACGTTTCATAGTAGCTAGCTAATACCATAGTATGTGAGTCTAGTAAATTACCAAAGTGAGTTGGCTAGCTATCCATTTTCCTGCCGTTTTCCAGCTAACCAATTCTAGCAAACTGTGAACGTTAGTTAGCTATTTCGCTAGCTAGCCTAAAATAGCTTGGCTAACTACATTTAACTACTGTTGTATGTGTTATGGAAGATTGACGAGGTAGTTAACATTTATTTTAGCTAACCTCCAGTGTGGCTAGCTATCTACCATTAACATACTATAGTGTTCCCCCTGTAACTGAGTTAGCTAACGTTAGCTATTATTATTGTGGTAGCTAGCTGCTAACGTTACATTTAATTTGGATGCTAATGTTAGTTAGCTACCTAGCTTGCTGTACGTCATTTCATTGTTGCGAGCTAGCTAGTTAACGAAGTGTTTATACAAGAAACGTTCATAATTTGCAGAAAACCAACAGTGGAGTCGTTTATCCAGCTAAGCTCGCTTGCTCTTGAACTACCAGTTAACTAGCATCCCTCATGTCGCAGTGATGGGATCCAGGCCAGCAGGTTTTGATTTAGGCGCCCAGCCATGAAGCTAGTTACATGTGTTTTATGCTGAATCCAGCTACTGCACACAGTTTTAACTATCTAGCTATCATTTTGCATTTAAAATGTAAATGTTGATTTGCTGAATGGCCTACATGACTTTAAACATTCTTGTTCCCACAAAGTTTATTATTTCACCAGACTGCTCCCTGAAAGTGCTGCAGAAAGGGTTTTCAGTCCTTTCAACCTGCAAAAATGCCAGCCGCACTTGCAGATACCAGTCAGATTATCTGTGAGGTCTGGGCAAGCAATGTGGAGGAGGAAATGAGGAAAATCCGACAGATAATTCAAAGCTACAACTCGATTGCCATGGTAATCTATCTTCCTAAATATGCCTATAACTTTTTTTCATAGACGCTTAATAGATCTGGGAAGGTTTTGATATTTATTGCATTAAGATATTTTATTTCAGTCATTAATTATGTCCTCCTTGTTCCACCAGGACACAGAATTCCCCGGAGTAGTAGTTCGACCCATTGGCGAGTTTCGTAGCACAGTAGATTACCAGTACCAGCTCTTGAGGTGCAACGTGGACCTTCTGAAAATCATCCAACTGGGACTGTCGTTTATGAACGAGGACGGAGACTATCCCCCTGGAACGACAACATGGCAGTTCAATTTCAAATTTAATTTAACGTGGGTGTTATTCCTTGCATCCTTTTTACAATACAGCAAAGCCAGTGATGAAATTCAAAATATAGCATGCTTATGTTAATTTGGGTAGGATCTGTTGCCTCATTAGAATACTCGAGTAATAGTCTGTTTATAACATTGTTTAAGTGTTTGGTTTGCTCCATAATGGGGAAAAAAGAGATCTGATGTTCTTTTGTAAACAGAGAGGATATGTACTCCCAGGACTCAATAGACCTACTCCAGAACTCCGGCCTCCAATTCAAAAAGCACGAGGAAGAGGGGATCGACACTCTGTACTTTGCTGAGCTCCTGATGACATCTGGTTTAGTGCTGTGTGAAAATGTAAAGTGGCTCTCCTTTCACAGGTAGGGATGTGTGGAGAGATCACTGGGCCTAGGCCTTAGAGTTTTTCCTGGTGACCAGATTAAACTCCCAACAGTGCCTCAGTTGTCATTTGAGACATTTTGTAATGAATCTCCTTGCTGTGCTTCTCATTTGCAGTGGGTACGATTTTGGCTACCTGGTGAAGCTCTTAACAGACACTCGCCTACCTGAGGAGGAACATGAGTTCTTCCAGATCCTCAATCTCTTCTTTCCTGCAATCTATGATGTGAAATATCTAATGAAGAGCTGCAAGAACTTAAAGGTAACCTGCTTATTCATCATGTTACAGTATTAGCAAAGCCAATGAAAGCACTGTTGGCTGTCAAGCGTGTCCGACAGGGTTTGAACCTGAGTCTCATGCATGTCTCAACTTTGTTAGCATGTTTAGCTTGATTAGCTAATGCAAGTCTTCGGATCTCAGGCAAGGTTACTCATCACACAAGTGTGGCTCACTGAATCACTTCAGTTACACAAGCAATGGTGACCAAAGAAATGTGACTGACAGGAAATGTCCTTTGACTTCCCCAAAGGCTGTTGAGGTAGAGCATATTGCTCCAGTTGGCTGACTGTCACCTGTGTGTTTGTTCAGGGAGGACTCCAGGAGGTGGCTGACCAGCTGGAATTGAAGAGGATTGGGAGACAGCACCAGGCCGGCTCCGATTCACTGCTCACAGGAATGGCCTTCTTTAGGATGAAAGAGGTACCTATTCTATTCCTAATGTCTCTTATCTTCCATAACAACTGATAGGTGAAAGGACTTGTGAGATTTTCAACATTGTGCTTACACCTGTTAAGTGTTTTCAAATCAGTGGTCAGGAAGGAAAATAACCTTTTTAAAGATGATTGTGACAGTCCCAGTCCAATATGTAGAACAAGCCTTGATGATGGGGATGTGCATTTTGGGAGAAACTGAGTTTGACAATGTTTCTGTTACATGAAACATCTGAAATAAGTTGTCTTTTGCAGCTTTTCTTTGAAGACAACATTGATGACGCAAAGTATTGTGGGCGATTGTATGGATTGGGCTCTGGGTCCACACAAAATCAGAACGGCATCTCAAGTTCTTCCCAAGAGGAAACTAACAACAAGCACTGACTGACCACAAGACCATCAAGTGGAAGATTCACTTGTTTTATCCCATCCAGTAGATGTTTCTCTTCTCCCCTCACTCCCAGAAGAAAACATGAGGATTAATTTCTGTATCAAACTTCACCAGCTGCAAAAAGGGCATTGGTTACCACAGACTCTCCTCTTGAACCCATTTTGTTCTGTCATAGTTGATTTTACTGCGTATTGTCACCATTCAAATTCCCTATTGTACCACCATTGAGCCTTTCTAGCGCCCATCGCACAGGTCCAGTATTCGGAAACCTTTTATCTGTGTGTTACAGCATTGCAGTAACTACCCTTCTTTTAAAAGCATGGGACCCGTTCGTGTATTGTACTGCAAATGATAAGTGTAGCATTTAAGTGCTCGAGCAATTCCCTGCACTCCTGCTTTTCAAAACGATAAACTCTATTTAGACCCAACTGTAGCTCAAGCATCGGTAGGTATCGTTCCCAAACCATTGCATTGTTGGATACATGCTTGTAGGGATTGTACACTTTTTTAAATTATGCTGGACAGGTATGTAAAATTCACTGAAGCCAACCTGTTTTAGCATTTTTCCTTTGTGGAAGGAGACTTTTAGGTGGGTACCAGGCTGGTCTGAGTATGAACGTGTTACAGGGGCACCCTGCAGTTCAGTGTAACATTTGCTTTTAATTTGTTCGCTCAGTTTAAACAGATGTTTTTGGTTGCTATTGTTTTTACAACATACATTGTTTGAAACAGTTGTATATTAAAACATTTTCTATTTTCAATGTGCCATTTTTTTGTTTTTTTGTCATGTCTTGTTTAAGGCATTCCCAAAAATATGTATTTCATATACACTGCTCAAAAAAATAAAGGGAACACTTAAACAACACAATGTAACTCCAAGTCAATCACACTTCTGTGAAATCAAACTGTCCACTTAGGAAGCAACACTGATTGACAATAAATTTCACATGCTGTTGTGCAAATGGAATAGACAACAGGTGGAAATTATAGGCAATTAGCAAGACACCCCCAATAAAGAAGTGGTTCTGCAGGTGGTGACCACAGACCACTTCTCAGTTCCTATGTTTCCTGGCTGATGTTTTGGTCACTTTTGAATGCTGGCGGTGCTTTCACTCTAGTGGTAGCATGAGACGGAGTGTACAACCCACACAAGTGGCTCAGGTAGTGCAGCTCATCCAGGATGGCACATCAATGCGAGCTGTGGCAAGAAGGTTTGCTGTGTCTGTCAGCGTAGTGTCCAGAGCATGGAGGCGCTACTAGGAGACAGGCCAGTACATCAGGAGACGTGGAGGAGGCCGTAGGAGGGCAACAACCCAGCAGCAGGACCGCTACCTCCGCCTTTGTGCAAGGAGGAGCCCTGCAAAATGACCTCCAGCAGGCCACAAATGTGCATGTGTCTGCTCAAACGGTCAGAAACAGACTCCATGAGGGCCCGATGTCCACAGGTGGGGGTTGTGCTTACAGCCCAACACCGTGCAGGACGTTTGGCATTTGCCAGAGAACACCAAGATTGGCAAATTCGCCACTGGCGCCCTGTGCTCTTCACAGATTAAAGCAGGTACACACTGAGCACATGTGACAGAGTCTGGAGACGCCGTGGAGAACGTTCTGCTGCCTGCAACATCCTCCAGCATGACCGGTTTGGCGGTGGGTCAGTCATGGTGTGGGGTGGCATTTCTTTGGGGGGCTGCACAGCCCTCCATGTGCTCGCCAGAGGTAGCCTGACTGCCATTAGGTACCGAGATGAGATCCTCAGACCCCTTGTGAGACCATATGCTGGTGCGGTTGGCCCTGGGTTCCTCCTAATGCAAGACAATGCTATACCTCATGTGGCTGGAGTGTGTCAGCAGTTCCTGCAAGAGGAAGGCATTGATGCTATGGACTGGCCCGCCCGTTCCCCAGACCTGAATCCAATTGAGCACATCTGGGACATCATGTCTCGCTCCATCCACCAACGCCACGTTGCACCACAGACTGTCCAGGAGTTGGTGGATGCTTTAGTCCAGGTCTGGGAGGAGATCCCTCAGGAGACCATGCGCCACCTCATCAGGAGCATGCCCAGGCGTTGTAAGGAGGTCATACAGGCACGTGGAGGCCACACACACTACTGAGCCTCATTTTGACTTGTTTTAAGGACATTACATCAAAGTTGGATCAGCCTGTAGTGTGGTTTTCCACTTTAATTTTGAGGGTGACTCCAAATCCAGACCTCCATGGGTTGATAAATTTGATTTCCAATGATAATTTTTGTGTGATTTTGTTGTCAGCACATTCAACTATGTAAAGAAAAAAGTATTTAATAAGATTATTTCATTCATTCAGATCTAGGATGTGTTGTTTAAGTGTGCCCTTTATTTTTTTGAGCAGTGTATTTAAACTCAGGCCATGCCTTATTGAACCAATTGTGTCCCTGTTTAAGGTTGAATTGTGTTACATAGTTGGGCCACATTCTGCGACTTGCCTTTTCATCCATATTGTATCCTCTCATTATCTTGCCTAGGCTGGCATACATTTCTTCTTCTCAGACCAAACTTTAGCTATAGCTGTTAAACAACTGACAGAGCCAGACCTGCATCTGATTAAAAAAGGGTAGAGGGTCTAAGTTGAGAGGGACAGGTTCATTTCCATCCTGAGGTACAACAATCTTTATTGCACCACCACAAACATTTGATTAGTTGGATCCTCTGGATAATTAAGGCTTTTCCATGTATTCTCAGAGCAAGGTAATGTACACAGAGTTGGGTGCCATTGTTTTGTAAGTATGTGCAATGGCCTAGACACTCATAAGTGCAAAAAGTGTGGAACAGCATTACTTAAATAATTTAATTCCAGACTAAAATCCTACACCTGAATCAATACATCAGTCAATGTATTTAATAGTTGTAGGCTGGTGTTTAAATACCCAAATCTCATGTAACTCAATATTTTTTTTAGTGAAAAGGTTTATTGATATACATAGACTTAGTGCATTTTATGTTAACAAAAGTCATCGTAGACTGAAGAAAATAAACATCTACATCTAAACCATTAAGATCTGAATTACTGGGAGGCTTTGCGGAGAGAGGCTGTAGTTCCATACCTACGGAAGAAGGCCACTTCTTCTTGCTGTAGGTAATCAGGAACGATAGCAGAACTTAAATACAGAAGAACTAAGCAGCACTCCAGAACATTTCGGTATGGATATTTCTGAACTGGGAAAGCAAGAATATTAACAAAAAAACAATGGTGGCAGGATTCACTATGCAGAAATCGCTCAGCCATTTCCTGGTTGCAAAAATTCTAATAGTTTGCCTAATTTCAGTTTGCGACAGAACAAGCCAGTGTAGTGCAGTGAATCATTGTACTCATCTAAACCGCTGTGAAATATATTTTGCATAACCAAAAATATTGTATTTTCAGCTGGTGTAAAAGACGCAAAAACTAAACTTAAGAACGGGAGGCATAGATATAACGCACATAGAACAGATCTACAGCTTATTAGACTTGCTTTCAATGAGTGACAGATCTATAACTCATATTTCTATGTGAATTTGGTCTGGTCGCCCAATCGTTACATACTGTATTCCAGCTTTAAGTAGGGTTGCAAAATTCCGGGAATGTTCAGTAAATTCCCTGGTTTTCCGAAAATCCTGGTTGGTGTATTCCGGATTTCCTGTTTATTCCCTCTTAATGCCGATAATCCTCCAACTGGGATTTCGGGAAAACCAGGGAATTTATTGAAAGTTCCCGGAATTTTGCAACCTTAGTTTTAAGTAAGAGACTCTTACTTTGACAGTCTGGAATTTTAGCCAGCTCTTTGTGTTGCTCAGAAACGATGGCGATCAAGGAGGGTAGGGATTCAGTGTCAGCTCTGAAAAACAAGATCGCACATGAACTCAAGACATCGATAGCTTTCACTTTCACCAACTACAGTGAGCTACAAAAGTATTGGGACAGTGGCACATTTTTGTTGTTGTTTTGGCTCTGTACTCTGGATTTGAAATTATACTTCAATAATGATGAGTGAGAAAGTTAAAGATGCACAAATATCATATCCCCCCCAAAAATGCTAACCTCCCCTGTTATTGTTATTAGTGAGAGGTTAGCATGTCTTGGGGGTATGATGTAATAATCATTGCGTGCTAGGAATATGGGACCAAATACTACACTTTTTACTACTTTAATACACATAAGTGAATTTGTCCCAATACTTTTAGTCCCCTAAAATAGGGGGACTATGTACAAAAAGTGCTGTAATTTCTAAACAGTTCACCCGATATGGATGAAAATACCCTCAAATTATTTTATTTTTTATTTCACCTTTATTTAACCAGGTAAGCCAGTTGAGAACAAGTTCTCATTTACAACTGCGACCTGGCCAAGATAAAGCAAAGCAGTGCGATAAAAACAACACAGAGTTACATATGGGGTAAACAAAACAAAGTCAAAAATACAAAATAAAAAATATATACAGTGTGTGCGAATGTAGTAAGTTATGGAGGTAAGGCAATAAATAAATAGGCCATAGTGCAAAAATAGTTACAATTTCGTAATTAATACTGGAATGATAGATGTTCAAAAGATGATGTGCAAATAGAGATACTGGGGTGCAAATTAGCAAAATAAATAACAATATGGGGATGAGGTAGTTGGGTGGGCTAATTTCAGAATGGCTGTGTACAGGTGCAGTGATCGGTAAGCTGCTCTGACAACTGACGCTTAAAGTTATTGAGGGAGATAAGGTCCAGCTTCAGAGATTTTTGCAGTTCGTTCCAGTCATTGACAGCAGAGAACTGGAAGGAATGGCGGCCAAAGGAGGTGTTGGTGTTGTGTCGAGAAAACGTTGCTAATTATGCTGTGAGACCAAGGAGAACCGCTGATGCTGTATTTTCATCATAAAGGTTTATTCATAACAAAGGGTTACAGCGTCGATTTACAGATACCTGCAGATATCTGGAGAATAATCGCCCCATCTCAAATCTGATTATTCTGTCTTCCTTTGTCTTAACTGTGGTATATATCCTATGTAATCTGATATGGGTGTTCCCCTACAGACCAATCACCTGTCTCCACACAACAGACTTCCTCTGTTCTATGGGGTGTCCCCCTAAAACTACTCCCCAGATGCTCCCTCTAAGCTGAATAAACCTCCTCTCAGGTTCCATTTGAAAACGTTAGCAAAGTCATAATTCCTCAGATACTACATTGGCTTTGGGGATGACCAGTGAGATATACCTGCTGGAGCGCAGACTACGGGTGGGTGTTGCTATGGTGACCAGTGAGCAAAGATAAGACAGGGATTTGCCTAGCAGTGATTTATAGATGACCTAATAATAGATTACATAATAATAATTATATAATAATGGTGCCGGAGAAGAAGGCTGCCGTTTTACAGCCCTCTAACCAATTGTACTATTATGTGTGTTTTTCCGCGTTATTTGTAATTTATTTTGTACATAATGTTTCTGCCATCGTCTCTTATCAACAAAAAGAGCTTCTGGATATCAGGACAGCGATTACTCACCTTGTATTGGACGAATATTTTTTCTTCAACGGGGCGGCCGCGAAGGATATCCTACAGACACCCGACAAGGCCCAAATCCCCGTAATTCGCATGAGGAAGAGACGGAGATATCGTGGACGTAGGTCGGGGTGCCTTGTAAGGATCCGACGGCGAGCGAGTAAACTGCCGCTCCCATCAATCCTATTAGCCAATCTTCAATCATTTGAGAATAAATTGGATGATTTAAGATTACGGTTATCCTACCAACGGGACATTAAAAACTGTAATATCTTATGTTTCACCGAGTCGTGGCTGAACGACGACATGTACAACATACAACTAGCGGGCTATACACTACATCGGCAGGATAGAACGGCTGACTCCGGTAAGACAAGGGGTGGCGGTCTGTGTATATTTGTAAACAACAGCTGGTGCAAATAATCAAATAATAAGGAAGTCTCTAGGTTTTGCTCGCCTGAGGTAGAGTATCTTATGATAAGCTGTAGACCACACTATTTACCAAGAGAGTTTTCATCTATATTTTTCATAGCTGTCTATTTACCACCACAAACCAATGCTGGCATTAAGATTGCGCTGAATGAGCTGTATAAGGCCATAAGTCAACAGGAAAACGCTCATCCAGAGGCAGCGCTCCTAGTGGCCGGGGACTTTAATGCAGGGAAACTTAAATCAGTTCTACCTCATTTCTACCAGCATGTGAAATGTGCAACCAGAGGAAAACAAACTCTAGACCACCTTTACTCCACACACAGAGATGCATACAAAGCTCTCCCTCGCCCTCCATTTGGCAAATCTGACCATAACTCTATCCTCCTGATTCCTGCTTATAAGCAAAAACTAAAGCAGGAAGCACCAGTGACTCGGTTAATAAAAAAGTGGTCAGATGACGCAGATGCTAAGCTACAGGACTGTTTTGCTAGCACAGACTGGAACATGTTCCGGGATTCTTCAGATAGCATTGAGGAGTACACCACATCAGTCACTGGCTTCATCAATAAGTGCATCGATGATGTCGTCCCCACAGTGACCGTACGTACATACCCCAACCAGAAGCCATGGATTACAGGCAACATCCGCACTGAGCTAAAAGGGTAGAGCTGCCGCTTTCAAGGAGTGGGACTCTAACCCGGACGCTTATAAGAAATCCCGCTACGCCCTCCGACGAGCCATCAAACAGGCAAAGAGTCAATACAGGACTAAGATTGAATCGTACTACACCGGCTCTGACGCTCGTCGGATGTGGCAGGGCTTGAAAACTATTAATAATAATAATAATAATAATAATAATATGCCATTTAGCAGACGCTTTTATCCAAAGCAACTTACAGTCATGCGTGCATACATTTTTTTTGTGTATGGGTGGTCCCGGGGATCGAACCCACTACCTTGGCGTTACAAGCGCCGTGCTCTACCAGCTGAGCTACAGAGGACCACACAGACTACAAAGGGAAGCACAGCCGCGAGCTGCCCAGTGACACAAGACTTCCAGACAAGCTAAACCACTTCTATGCTCGCTTCGAGGCAAGCAACACTGAAGCATGCATGAGAGCACTAGCTGTTCCGGATGACTATGTGATCACGCTCTCCGTAGCCGATGTGAGTAAGACTTTTAAGCAGGTCAACATTCACAAGGCCACAGGGCCAGACAAATTACCAGGACGTGTACTCCGAGCATGTGCTGACCAACTGGCAAGTGTCTTCACTGACATTTTCAACATGTCCCTGACTGAGTCTGTAATACCAACATGTTTCAAACAGAGCACCATAGTCCCGTGCCCAAGGACTCTAAGATAACCTGCCTAAATGACTACTGACCCGTAGCACTGACGTCTGTAGCCATGAAGTGCTTTGAAAGGCTGGTCATGGCTCACATCAACACCATTATCCCAGAAACCCTAGACCCACTCCAATTTGCATACCGCCCAACAGATGATGCAATCTCTATTGCACTCCACACTGCCCTTTCCCACCTGGACAAGAGGAACACCTACGTGAGAATGCTATTCATTGACTACAGCTCAGCATTCAACACCATAGTGCCCTCAAAGCTCATCACTAAGCTAAGGATCCTGGGACTAAACACCTCCCTCTGCAACTGGATCCTGGACTTCCTGACAGGCCGCCCCCAGGTGGTAAGGGTAGGTAACAACACATCTGCCACACTGATCCTCAACACGGGGACCCCTCAGGGGTGCGTGCTCAGTCCCGTCCTGTACTCCCTGTTCACCCATGACTGCATGGCCAGGCACGACTCCAACACCATCATTAAGTTTGCCGACGACACAACAGTGGTAGGCCTGATCACCGACAACGATGAGACAGCCTATAGGGAGGAGGTCAGAGACCTGGCCATGTGGTGCCAGGATAATAAGCTCTCCCTCAACGTGATCAAGACAAAGGAGATGATTGTGGACTACAGGAAAAGGAGGACCGAGCACGCCCCCATTCTCATCGAGTGTAGTGGAGCAGGTTGAGAGCTTCCTTGGTGTCCACATCACCAACGAACTATCATGGTCCAAACACACCAAGACAGTCGTGAAGAGGGCACGACAAAGCCTATTCCCCCTCAGGAGACTGAAAAGATTTGGCATGGGTCCTCAGATCCTCAAAAAGTTAAACAGCTGCACCATCGAGAGCATCCTGACTGGTTGCATCACTGCCTGGTATGGCAACTGCTTGGCCTCCGACCGCAAGGCACTACAGATGGCAGTGTGTACGGCCAAGTACATCACTGGGGCCAAGCTTCCAGCCATCCAGGACCTCTATACCAGGCCGTGTCAGAGGAAGGCCGTAGAAATAGTCAAAGACTCCGGCCACCCTAGTCATAGACTGTTCTCTCTGCTACCACATGGCAAGCGGTACCGGAGCACCAAGTCTAGGTCCAAAAGGCTTCTCAACAGCTTTTACCCCCAAGCCATAAGACTCCTGAACAGCTAAACATGGCTACCCGGACTATTTGCATTGTCCCCCCCTCCCCACCCCACCCGCTCTTTTACGCTGCTGCTACTCTCTGTTTATTTTCTATGCATAGTCACTTTAACTCTACCCACATGTACATACAGTGGGGGAAAAAAGTATTTAGTCAGCCACCAATTGTGCAAGTTCTCCTACTTAAAAAGATGAGAGAAGCCTGTAATTTTCATCATAGGTACACGTCAACTATGACAGACAAATTGAGGAAAAAAATCCAGAAAATCACATTGTAGGATTTTTTATTAATTAATTTGCAAATTATGGTGGAAAATAAGTATTTGGTCACCTACAAACAAGCAAGATTTCTGGCTCTCACAGACCTGTAACTTCTTTTTTAAGAGGCTCCTCTGTCCTCCACTCGTTACCTGTATTAATGGCACCTGTTTGAACTTGTTATCAGTATAAAAGACACCTGTCCACAACCTCAAACAGTCACACTCCAAACTCTACTATGGCCAAGACCAAAGAGCTGTCAAACGACACAAGAAACAAAATTGTAGACCTGCACCAGGCTGGGAAGACTGAATCTGCAATAGGTAAGCAGCTTGGTTTGAAGAAATCAACTGTGGGAGCAATTATTAGGAAATGGAAGACATTCAAGACCACTGATAATCTCCCTCGATCTGGGGCTCCACGCAAGATCTCACCTCGTGGGGTCAAAATGATCACAAGAACGGTGAGCAAAAATCCCAGAACCACACGGGGGGACCTAGTTAATGACCTGCAGAGAGTTGGGACCAAAGTAACAAAGCCTACAATCAGTAACACACTATGCCGCCAGGGACTCAAATCCTGCAGTGCAAGACGTGTCCCCCTGCTTAAGCCAGTACATATCCAGGCCCGTCTGAAGTTTGCTAGAGTGCATTTGGATGATCCAGAAGAGGATTGGGAGAATGTCATATGTTCAGATGAGACCAAAATATAACTTTTTGGTAAAAACTCAACTCGTCGTGTTTGGAGGACAAAGAATGCTGAGTTGCATCCAAAGAACACCATACCTACTGTGAAGCATGGGGGTGGAAACATCATGCTTTGGGGCTGTTTTTCTGCAAAGGGACCAGGACGACTGATCCGTGTAAAGGAAAGAATGAATGGGGCCATGTATCGTGAGATTTTGAGTGAAAACATCTTTCCATCAGCAAGGGCATTGAAGATGAAACGTGGCTGGGTCTTTCAGCATGACAATGATCCCAAACACACCGCCCGGGCAATCAAGGAGTGGCTTCGTAAGAAGCATTTCAAGGTCCTGGAGTGGCCTAGCCAGTCTCCAGATCTCAACCCTATAGAAAATCTTTGGAGGGAGTTGAAAGTCCGTGTTGCCCAGCGACAGCCCCAAAACGTCACTGCTCTAGAGGAGATCCGCATGGAGGAATGGGCCAAAATACCAGCAACAGTGTGTGAAAACCTTGTGAAGACTTACAGAAAACGTTTGACCTGTGTCATTGCCAACAAAGGGTATATAACAAAGTATTGAGAAACTTTTGTTATTGACCAAATACTTATTTTCCACCATAATTTGCAAATAAATTCATAAAAAATCCTACAATGTGATTTTCTGGATTTTTTCCCCCTCATTTTGTCTGTCATAGTTGACGTGTACCTATGATGAAAATTACAGGCCTCTCATCTTTTTAAGTGGGAGAACTTGCACAATTGGTGGCTGACTAAACACCTTTTTAACCCACTGTATTACCTAAATTACCTCGACTAACCTGTGCCCCCGCACATTGACTCTGTACCGGTACCCCCTGTATATAGCCTCCCTACTGTTATTTTATATTACTGCTGCTCTTTAATTATTTGTTATTTTTTGTTTTTACTCATCTATTTTTTACTTAACACTTATTTTTTCTTAAAACTGCATTGTTGGTTAAGGGCTTGTAAGTAAGCATTTCACTGTAAGGTCTACACCTGTTGTATTCGGTGCATGTGGCAAATAATATTTGATTCGAATCAGATGAGGCACGTTCATAGGAACGTCTGTGGATTCTCTATGGTTTTCAGTTGTTGGTGAAAAGCTTTCAGTTACTCTGGGTTGCTGAGAGAGACACCAAACTCCCTCTCCCACACAGCCCTCAGGGTAGCTAGGAAGCCATTTTGGCTCTTACAGGAGGCAGACCAGGGATGGCTGGAGGAACAGGTCCAAGTCACTACGTCTGTCCCTGTTAGACTCACAGTGAGCAGCTTGATAGTGCAGAAGTGTAACCGGTGGGCCTATATCAGAGGGGGACAGTAGAGATCAAGCATGAAAATCAACCCACATATCTCATCTGACTATAATCTACAGCTAATCAATGGGACTATATCTAGTATCTATATTTATGAGCATTGGCCAGTTCAGGGCAACTAACCAATAGGCTCTCCTGTGCGATGAGGAGTTGCTCCCAGCCAATCCTGAGAGGATGCCACATCTAAGGTAGAGGTCTTTGGCACATCTTAGGTAGAGTGAATGGGACAGGTCACTTTCACCAGAGATCCTCGCCAGACTGGCGGCCGTCTTCAGCGATACTGGGTCGTTTTTCATGGCGATGACTTTGGCAGTGTCGAAGCTGGAGTCCACGGCGAGATAACTGGGTGAAACATTTGATTTGATAAATACACAACACGTTCTATTAGCATCAAGTCAGCTATTCAGAGGAACCATCTTTTAATCTACCATACGTTACACAGTGCACTTTTACACCGAGATGCAGTTTTATTAATGAAGATGGGTAAATGCTAATCTGTTATTTGCACGGCTGCCCAGGTGGTGTAGAGCCCCTTGAGCACAGGGTCATCTGGCTGCAGCCTAGCCATGGCCAGGGCTATGGCCTCCCTGAGACAGCACACAAACATGACTCACAGCTCAGAGATTACAATGATCACTCCCATTGATAGGCCAGTCACAGATAACAATCTAAAATCCTACCACTAAGTAGAGGGGAATTACTCTATTGGATCTTCTTACAACACTAACTTTAATATTCTTTATAGAATAATTTATGTGTAAAATAACCTGTAGAGCTAAATGACCTGTAGAGCTGGTGGGACTTGAGGAGGTCTATGGCCTCGTAGACCTTGTTGATGGACAGGAGATGCGAGGCAGCCTTGAGGAACTGCTTCTGAAGACACAGCTGCTTCACATAGGCCTCCACTGTACTCAGCCACACCTGGTAACAAGCTGAGGGTTTCACAAATACAATTACACACCTGTATGCATACAAACAGCACTGTACCACAGAGAAACACATAACTTTGCAAGGAGCAAGAGAACAACGAATTATACTAATTGCCTAGTTGGTTGCTGAATCGGAACAGCTTAATATTGTAAATATGCATTCTAAACTGGAATAAATAGAAAAACATTTAGACTTTAAATTAGTGCTCTTTACCCATAGGTGCAACAGAGAGCAGGTGATCACTCGGCTCTCCTTTCTCAGTGGCCACCTGCAGAGCTCCAGCGATGTCACCTTTCCACAGTCTCAGGTACACCACAGACTCATATATAATCAGAGAAAGCGTTATAAGTGTAAGTATTATGAAAGTGTTTTAACAAGTGTATAATCATTATGAATGTCTGATAACAATTACATAATACAACATAACATAGCGTCCTCACCCTCCTCCTGGAACACCCTTTAGAGGGCAACTCTATCTGCGAACAGCCCCAGTTGGATGTGATCTCCCAGGCCTGGGACACAGTGGGCTGGAGGGGCTGAGGACAGACAGAGGGGACAAAGACAGGGTCAGAGGTCAAACACTGCTCTATGAGGACATACAATTATGACCTGCCTTATCTGTTTGGACCTTATTTATCTGTATCATTAATCTTAACTAAAGACAACTCCTTGTGCTTTTATTTTATGCTGCCGCCTACACTTGAACATTTTGCCAGTAAACAATAGTTGAGTACTTAGTTGATTGTATACAGTGCCTTAAAAAATTATTCATCCCCCTTGGCGTTTTTCCTATTTTGTCGCATTACAACCTGTAATTTAAATGGATTTTTATTTGGATTTCATGTAATGGACATACACAAAATAGTCCAAATTGGTGAAGTGAAATGAAAAAAATAACTTGTTTCAAAAAATTCAAATAAATAAATAACGGAAAGTGGTGCGTGCATATGTATTCACCCCCTTTGCTATGAAGCCCCTAAATAAGATCTGGTGCAACCAATTACCTTCAAAAGTCACATAATTAGTTAAATAAACTCCACCTGTGTGCAATCTAAGTGTCACATGATCTGTAACATGATCTCAGTATATATACACCTGTTCTGAAAGGCCCCAGATTCTGCAACACCACTAAGCAAGGGGCACCACCAAGCAAGCGGCACATGAAGACCAAGGAGCTCTCCAGGGACAAAGTTGTGGAGAAGTACAGATCAGGGTTGGGTTATAAAAAAATATCTGAAACTTTGAACATCCCACGGACCACCATTAAATCCATTATTAAAAAATGGAAAGAATATGGCACCACAACAAACCTGCCAAGAGAGGGCCGCCCACCAAAACTCACGGACCAGGTAAGGAGGGTATTAATCAGAGAGGCAACAAAGAGACCAAAGATAACCCTGAAGGAGCTGCAAAGCTCCACAGCGGAGAGTGGAGTATCTGTCCATAGGACAACTTTAAGCTGCACACTCCACAGAGCTGGGCTTTATGGAAGAGTGGCCAGAAAAAAGCCATTGCCTAAAGAAAAAAATAAGCAAACACGTTTGGTGTTCGCCAAAAGGCATGTGGGAGACTCCCCAATCATATGGAAGAAGGTACTCTGGTCAGATGAGACTAAAATTGAGCTTTTTGGCCATCAAAGAAAACGCAATGTCTGGTGCAAACCCAACACCTCTCATCACCCGAGAACACCATCCCCACAGTGAAGCATGGGGGTGGTAGCATCATGCTGTGGGGATGTTTTTCATTGGCAGGGACTGGGAAACTGGTCAGAATTGAAGGAATGATGGATGGCGCTAAATACAGGGAAATTCTTGAGGGAAACCTGTTTCAGTCTTCCAGAGATTTGAGACTTGGACGGAGGTTCACCTTCCAGCAGGACAATGACCCTAAGCATACTGCTAAAGCAACACTTGAGTGGTTTAAGGGGAAACATTTACATGTCTTGGAATGGCCTAGTCAAAGCCCAGACCTCAATCCAATTGAGAATCTGTGGTATGACAAAGATTGCTGTACACCAGCGGAACCCATCCAACTTGAAGGAGCTGGAGCAGTTTTGCCTTGAAGAATGGGCAAAAATCCCAGTGGCTGGATGTTCCGAGTTTATAGAGACATACCCCAAGAGACTTGCAGCTGTAATTGCTGCAAAAGGTGGCTCTACAAAGTATTGACTTTGGGGGGGTGAATAGTTATGCACGCTCAAGTTTTCTGTTTTTTTTGTCTTATTTCTTGTTTGTTTCTAAATAAAAATTATTTTGCATCTTCAAAGTGGTAGGCATGTTGTGTAAATCAAATGATACAAACCCCCCAAAAATCAATTTTAATTCCAGGTTGTAAGGCAACAAAATAGGAAAAATGCCAAGGGGGGGTGAATACTTTCGCAAGGTACTGTAGGTCCTCAAAGGTGTAGCTACTGGGCTACATGTCTAATCTTGTGGTATAATCCAGATAAGGATGGACTGAAAGTCTCACCCTCAGAGTTCCTGACTGTGGCCAGGTTGAGACAGTCCTGCTGGAGGTCTTCCCTGGGCCGGTGGTCCATGGACATACTGAGGGGCAGCATGGAGCAAGGCTTCCTCTTCTTTAGAGACACCTCTGGAAGAAAAGACAACAAACACCAGAGGGGGTTGCAGTGGATGGAGACTGATCATGCAGACTTATACTCATGATAAGTTAATGAATAGGACTTGTAACTGTGTGTTAGTTGACACAGGGGGCTGAGGTTTTCCTGGTCAGGTCACGTGGTCAGGAAAAACTCAGGGCTCTATGAACAATAATGTTCTTGTTGGTTTCTCCACTTTTTTCATTTCTTTCTTTACAGTCAGTAAGGATTTCCCTCCATTTTGCACTTTCTCCACCACTGATCTGTCCATTTGATTACTGGATGAAGAAATTGAAAGGAAATTAGTAGTATGTAAGCTGTATGACATGATAATTCTTAACTTGTACGGCAGCAATTAAAGATGCAATTGAAGAAGATGACTGGATTGAGACAGCCTGAATGTAATGGTAGATGGACCATGGCTACAGTGCTACCTGTCACTGAGGAGATACTAGTGGTCTTGCATAAATAAAATAATACATTGCCATTCAATAGCGGCTGATTGGAATTTGTAGCAGCAAAACCCTATTCCCATCTACAGTATCTACAGTATATACAGTAATGTTTATGCATTGGGACTGACCTGTGCTGTACCGTCATAAGAGACGTGACCAGTCGCCCGGTGATCTTGGCTGTGTGAACCGCCAGGCTCCAATACGCCTCGGTCACCAAAACGGAATTCTCTAGGGGAGTCTCTGAACACAGACAAGAGATTGAAGAGATTGACAGTTATTTTGTGTTTCTTCCATTTGCGAATAATCACATCAACTGTTGTCACCTTCTCACCAAGCTGCTTGTCGATGGTCTTGTAGCCCATTCCAGCCTTGTGTAGGTCTACAATCTTGTCCCTGACATCCTTGGAGAGCTATTTGATCTAGCCATGGTAGAGAGTTTGGAATCTGATTGATTGATTGCTTCTGTGGACAGGTGTCTTTTATACAGGTAACAAGCTAAGATTAGAAGCACTCCCTTTAAGAGTGTGCTCCTAATCTCAGCTCGTTACTTGTATAAAAGACACCTGGGAGCCAGAAATCTTTCTGATTGAGAGGGGGTCAAATACTTATTTCCCTCATTAAAATGCAAATCAATTTATAACATTTTTGACATGCGTTTTTCTGGATTGTTTTGTTGTTATTCTGTCTCTCACTGTTCAAATCAACCTACCATTAAAATTATAGACTGATAATTTCTTTGTCAGTGGGCAAACGTACAAAATCAGCAGGGGATCAAATACTTTTTTCCTTCACTGTATATATATTTTATACACACGGGATACAAATGGGATACACAGTGTATATAGTGCATTCGGAAAGTATTCAGACCCCTTGACTTTTTCCACATTTTGTTACGTTACAGCCTTATTCTAAAATTGATAAAATAGTTTTTTCCCTCATCAATCTACACACAATACCCCATAATGACAAACCAAAAACAGGTTTTTAGAAATGTTTGCACATTTATGAAAATAATAAAAAACTGAAATATCACATTTACATAAGTATTCAGAAACTTTACTCAGTACTTTGTTGAAGCACCTTTGGCAGCAATTACAGCCTTGCGTCTTCTTGGGTATGATGCTACAAGCTTGGCACACCTGTATTTGGGGAGTTTCTCCCATTCTTCTCTGCAGATCCTCTCAAGCTCTATCAGGTTGGATGGGGAGCGTCGTTTGCAGCTATTTTCAGGTCTCTCCAGAGATGTTCGATCAGGTTCAAGTCCGGGCTCTGGATTGGCCACTCAAGGACATTCAGAGACTTGTCCCGAAGCCATTCCTGCATTGTCTTGGCTGTGTGCTTAGGGTCGTTGTCCTGTTGGAAGGTAAACCTGAGGTCCTGAGAGCTCTGGAGCAGGTTTTCATCAAGAATCTCTCTGTACTTTGCTCCATTCATCTTTCCCTCGATCCTGACTAGTCTCCCAGTCCCTGCAAAACATCCCCACATCATGATGCTGCCACCACCATGCTTCACTGTAGGGATGGTGCCAGGTTTCCTTCAGACGTGACACTTGGCATTCAGGCCAAAGAGTTCAATCTTGGTTTCATCAGACCAGAGAATCTTGTTTCTCATGGTCTGAGTGTCCTTTAGGTGCCTTTTGGCAAACTTCAAGCGGGCTGTCATGTGCCTTTTACTGAGGAGTGGCTTCTGTCTGGCCACTCTACCATAAAGGCCTGATTGGTGGAGTGCTGCAGAGATGGTTGTCCATCTGGAAGGTTCTCCCATCTCCACAGAGGAACTCTGGAGCTCTGTCAGAGTGACCATCGGGTTCTTGGTGACCTCCCTGACCAAGGCCCTTCTCCCTTGATTGCTCAATTTGGCCGGGCGGCCAGCTCTAGGAAGAGTCTTGGTGGTTCCAAACTTCTTCCATTTAAGAATGATGGAGGCCACTGTGTTCTTGGGGACCTTCAATGCTGCAGAACTTTTTTGCCTCTAAGCAATCCGGTCTCGGAGCTCTACGGACAATTCCTTCGACCTCATGGCTTGGTTTTTGCTCTGACATGCATTGTCAACAGGTGTGTGCCTTTCCAAATCATGTCCAATCAATTGAATTTACCACAGGTGGACTCCAATCAAGTTGTAGAAACAACCTCAAGGATGATCAATGCAAACAGGAAGCACCTGAGCTCAATTTCGAGTCTCATAGCAAAGGGTCTGAATACTTATGTAAATAAGTGTTTCTGTTTTATAAATTTCCTAAAATTACCAAAACCCTGTTTTCGTTTTGTCATTATGGGGTATTATGTGTAGATTGCTGAGGAAATTGTTTTATTTAATCAATTTCAGAATAAGGCTTAATGTAAGAAAATGTGGAAAATATCAAGGGGTCTGAATATTTTCCAAAGGCACTGTATATGGTAGCTATATACAGTGAGGGAAAAAAGTATTTGATCCCCTGCTGATTTTGCACATTTGCCCACTGACAAAGAAATGATCAGTCTATAATTTTAATGGTAGGTTGATTTGAACAGTGAGAGACAGAATAACAACAAAAAAATCCAGAAAAACGCATGTCAAAAATTTTATACATTGATTTGCATTTTAATGATAAACCTACCAAATAAACCTACCATTAAAATTATAGACTGATCATTTTTTTGTCAGTGGGCAAACGTACAAAATCAGCAGGGGATCACATACTTTTTTCCCTCACTGTAAAACTAAAGGTCTAGGAAGATATATACACTGCTCAAAAAATAAAGGGAACACTAAAATAACACATCCTAGATCTGAATGAATGAAATAATCGTATTAAATACTTTTTTCTTTACGTAGTTGTATGTGCTGACAACAAAATCACACAAAAATTATCAATGGAAATCAAATTTATCAACCCATGGAGGTCTGGATTTGGAGTCACCCTGAAAATTAAAGTGGAAAACCACACTACAGGCTGATCCAACTTTGATGTAATGTCCTTAAAACAAGTCAAAATGAGGCTCAGTAGTGTGTGTGGCCTCCACGTGCCTGTATGACCTCCCTACAACGCCTGGGCATGCTCCTGATGAGGTGGCGGATGGTCTCCTGAGGGATCTCCTCCCAGACCTGGACTAAAGCATCCGCCAACTCCTGGACAGTCTGTGGTGCAACGTGGCGTTGGTGGATGGAGCGAGACATGATGTCCCAGATGTGCTCAATTGGATTCAGGTCTGGGGAACGGGCGGGCCAGTCCATAGCATCAATGCCTTCCTCTTGCAGGAACTGCTGACACACTCCAGCCACATGAGGTCTAGCATTGTCTTGCATTAGGAGGAACCCAGGGCCAACCGCACCAGCATATGGTCTCACAAGGGGTCTGAGGATCTCATCTTGATACCTAATGGCAGTCAGGCTACCTCTGGCGAGCACATGGAGGGCTGTGCGGCCCCCCAAAGAAATGCAACCCCACACCATGACTGACCCACTGCCAAACCGGTCATGCTGGAGGATGTTGCAGGCAGCAGAACGTTCTCCACGGCGTCTCCAGACTCTGTCACGTCTGTCACGTGCTCAGTGTGTCAGTGTGAACCTGCTTTCATCTGTGAAGAGCACAGGGCGCCATTGGCGAATTTGCCAATCTTGGTGTTCTCTGGCAAATGCCAAATGTCCTGCACGGTGTTGGGCTGTAAGCACAACCCCCACCTGTGGACGTCGGGCACTCATACCACCCTCATGGAGTCTGTTTCTGACCGTTTGAGCAGACACATGCACATTTGTGGCCTGCTGGAGGTCATTTTGGCAGTGCTCCTCCTGCTCCTCCTTGCACAAAGGCGGAGGTAGCAGTCCTGCTGCTGGGTTGTTGCCCTCCTACGGCCTCCTCCACGTCTCCTGATGTACTGGCCTGTCTCCTGGTAGCACCTCCATGCTCTGGACACTGCACTGACAGACACAGCAAACCTTCTTGCCACAGCTCGCATTGATGTGCCATCCTGGATGAGCTGCACTACCTGAGCCACTTGTGTGGGTTGTAGACTCCGTCTCATGCTACCACTAGAGTGAAAGCACTGCCAGCATTCAAAAGTGACCAAAACATCAGCCAGGAAGCATAGGAACTGAGAAGTGGTCTGTGGTCACCACCTGCAAAACCAGTCCTTTATTGGGGGTGTCTTGCTAATTCCCTATAATTTCCACCTGTTGTCTATTCCATTTGCACAACAGCATGTGAAATTTATTGTCAATCAGTGTTGCTTCCTAAGTGGACAGTGGACAGTGATTGACTTGGAGTTACATTGTGTTGTTTAAGTGTTCCCTTAATTTTTTTGAGCAGTGTATATATCTTTCAAGACCATTAGTTTTACATAGCTACCATATTTACACTGAGTGCACAAAACATTAAGAACACCTTCCTAATATTGAGTTGCGCCCTAGGAACAGCCTCAATCCATCAGGGCATGGACTCTACAAGGTGTCGAAAACATTCCACAGGGATGCAGGCCCATGCTGACTACAATGCTTCCCACAGTTGTGTCAAGTTGGCTGGATGTCCTTTGGGTTGTGGACCATTCTTGATACACACAGGAAACTGTTGAGCGTGAAAAACCCAGCAGCGTTGTAGTTCTTGACATAAACCTGTGTCCCTGGCACCAACTACCATACCCCTTTCAAAGGCACTTAAATATTTTGTCTAGTCACCCTCTGAATGGCACACATACACAATCAATGTCTCACTCATCTCAAGGCTTAAAAATCCTTCTTAAAAATATCTTATTTTATTAATTTTTAATTTTTACGTAATTTAGCAGACGCTCTTATCCAGAGCGACTTAGTTAGTGAGTCCATACATTTTCATCTTCCCCTTCATCTACACTAATTGAAGTGTATTTAACAAGTGACAACAATAAGGGATCACAGCTTTCACCTGAATTCACCTGATCAGTCTATGTCATGGAAAGAGTAGGTGTTCTTAATGTTTCAAACACAGTGTATATCTTCCAAGACCATTAGTTTTACATAGCTACCATTCCCAATGGAGCCCTCTGCTGGCTCACTGCTGCCTCTGCACCCCATATTACCGTCAGTATCATTCCTTGAGATATGCACACTTGTCTTTAACACAGATCATACAACATATCAACAGGAGATTTAAACACTCAGATCTGAAAATATGATTCGGCACCAGCATACACACCTGGGGAACTCCCCTCACCTATGACAGTGCGGAGGTCGTGGATGTAGACCATGGCGTTGCTGGATCCAGAGGCCAGGAGGTACTGCAGCTCGGGCAGGGAGTTGTGGTCATGGTGCCAGCGCAGCACGTTGATTATCTTATGGTGCTGCTGGATGGTACACAGCAGCTTGAGAGTCTGGGCCTGGTACACCTCTATGGACCTGAGAGAGACAAAGCCAGGAATTATAGTTGCCCCAATATAATTTCAATCACTTTGAGACCTAGTGAAAATGGATACATAAATAAAATGACCACATTCAAATCACTTTTTCCCAAAGTGCATTTAAACTTCTTAATACACTTTACAGTAAAACCGTCAGTACAGCTACAGTCTCATTTTAGACAGGCACTCATCAATCATTTTAGATGACAGTTGCCTCCGGTTAATTCTCCAGGCCTATACACAGTTTAAGGGAATGAGGACTCACCAGTCCTCATTGCCAATGGCCACAACTTTACCATCTGGTTTCCAGCTGAGATCTGTGTGGGATGACAGCTTGTGCTGCAGAAAATAGAACATGACCTTCAAAATGTATTCAAATTACCAACATTATATTCAATTGCACATCGCCACATGCAGTGACTGGGTAAAATACTTATGTAGAGGGTCCTGCTGAAAAGGAATAGATAAATACATAAATGTAGAGAGCCTCTCCATCTCACCATGATGCTGTTGGTGTACTTGATGAGCCTGTCAATGTATGTGGCCTCTCCTGCCAGTTTCCAGGGGTCATGCTGTAGGATGAGGCCCTCTCCAGCACAGCTATACAGGCTGTAGGACAGCCGTTCTCCTGCTCCGCCTGGAGATGACACACTGACTGTTACACACTGTTTTAGCACCCTGCTGTTGTCTCTCTTATTCACAACACTAATCAGTCAACGATAACCCTGAAGAGGTCACATCTCAATCTCAATGTCCACATGCCACTCTGGGACACCAGCAGGAGGAGGAGCCACGCCAGCAAAAAGTGTCAAAACAAATTAACATGGTCTTTGTTGGTTTAGAAACCATCAGCAGATCGTTCACACAGCAGCAATTATGTTTACTGTTTCAAAAGGCTGAATGATGGATACGGTAATCAAAATGTCATCTGCCGGAAGCTGGTAAAATTAACATTCCACCATCTTGATTTCCCAATGAATGGCTCAGGGAGAGAGGTAAGCGTTTTCTCAACTCAATTATGGAGTATATTACCAAAGCGTCAAGAGATGCTTTCTGCTGACTCATGGCTTTGGCACAACGCCCACCCGCATAAGTTGCTAGGTCAGAGAGTGCTCAGCATACAGTACACACACTTAGATATACTTAAGAGCTTACCAAATGACAGAAGGGGGGACAGGGGGTCCCCAGGCTAATGTGTACACAGTCTTTTTGTGATAAGTGCTGGATACCTGAGGCGGCCTGGGCATGATGACCATTCATTAATGTCATAACAGATATGAAATGTAATTATCTTGGTGAGAAATTATGATAATCACTAACAGTTTGGATTTGATTAAACCTCCGACATACAGTATCTCAGATATAAATAGATATATAAATATAGCAGCCTGGTCTCATAGACTAGACGTAACATATTAAACGTAAAGTAAATGTAAATCCAGGGAGCTCAAATTAGTATGACATGTTACGTTTGGTATGGTTACATAAGACAGATGGTTACTTAAGGCTAAAAAGGCAAAAACTAAAGTAGGGTGGTTGGTCGGGGAGGATGGATGGATGGGTGGGCATATAACGCATAACGCGAATGTCTAGCAACCCAAAGGTTGCGTGTTCAAATCTCATCACGGACAACTTAAGCATTTTTGCAAATTTTGCAACTACTTACTACTTTTTAGCTACTTCGCTAACCCTTCCCCTTTAACCTAACTCCTAACCCTAAACTTAACCCCTAACCCCTAGTAGGCTTGGGCAGTATCCAGATTGTCATACTTTCATACCAACCTTGTAACATCCTGGGATATTAGTTAATACCGGCACTGAACACAAGGGGCGCTATTTTCAAACCCCCCTGAGCCTCTGAGATCCAAAGGTTAGCAATGTTAACAAGTACATGTAAAGCCCCATAGCGAATGCTAACTAAATGCTAACGAGCGTTGCAAACATTTACAAAAAAATGCTACTCACAGTTTGCTGCACGCACAAAACAAATATTAGACAGCAAAGCTCTTGATCCAGGAGGGGATTCGCTGCTGTTACCAAGCAAAGCTTGATTTTGCAAGAAGCTTAGCACTTAGCTAGATAGCTAACTAGCTACTAAATTAGCAAACCAAATGCACAACTGCAGAGCATTTAGCACATTTTTGACAGTTAACTTAATATTTATAAAATATCTAGCTGGCAAACATTTTGTTGTGAATTCCATACTGTAACTAGATCACCTGGCACGTGTTGCACAACAGTGAGTGACACACAAGGCTCTGGTCTGTCATCGTTGTGTGCTTGTAAACAAACACCACGTGACTCGGGACTACCGGTAAGCATCATAATAAAATGTGACACGTGAAATGAAGAACGCAATCTTCTTTATCTCCTAACATATTGCACAAGTTGATTGCAGGTATTTTACTTAAAAAGTAGCTACAAATATTCAAATGTAGAAAACAAATTCAAATAAATAGTTTCAACGGTATTGAAGAACCATCCTTGTGGCCATTTCCAAATACCCCGGTATACGGTATATAAGGTATATACGGTATACCCCCCAAGCCTAACCCTTAGCCTAGCTAATGTTAGCCCCCTAGCTAACGTTAGCGTTAGCCACCTCGCTAACGTTAGTCACAACAAATTGGAATTCATAACATATCATACGTTTAGAAAATTCATAACATATTGTACGAATTGCAATTCGTAACTCATCATACGAAATGGATGTTGGACATCCACAAAGTAATACATACCATACGAAACGTAACATATACTAATTGGAGTGTCCCGGATTTACATCTACTATGTTACGTCTCTCTCTGAGTCCAGGTTGAATATAGATATAGGTCCTGTGTGGCTCAGTTGGTAGAGCATGGCACTTGTAACGCCAGGGTTGTGGGTTGAATTCTCACGGGGACCAGTACAAAAAAAAGTATGAAAATGTATGCACTCACTACTGTAAGTCGCTCTGGATAAGAGTGTCTGCTAAATGACTAAAATAAGGAGTTAGATGAAGAGTTTCTCTTACTTGTTAGAGAAAGCATTGTAGATGCCAACTTTGCCGTCATAGGTTCCAAAAGCTAAGGATCCTTCTTTGGTTGGATGCCAGGACAACTGCAATGAACAAAGATTTGGAAATTGTCACATACATGCGCTAGCCATCTTCACTTTTACCATAAACCAGTAGACAATAACTGATATCAATATGCCCTAAGAGTCTCTTACCGCTGTAACTTTGGACTTGATGCCCTGCCAGAAGGTATTGGTGTCGTACTTGTTCTGGATGGAGAGGCTGCTCCACACACGGATCACGCATTCTCCCACCCCCAGGGCCAGGCAGCCCCACAGGAGAGAAGATCAGGGTGTTCACAAACCCCCAGGGTGGGCAGGGTCCAGCAGTAGTCCAATGACGACAGGTCCCAGCATTTTATCTGGAATAATAAGAGAAGCAAATTGAGTGAGAAAATCTTGCCAACATGGATTCTGGAGTCACTCTCTGCATATAGGGACACTAAGCACTTCTTATAGACTGCATGTTTGATTGACCATTTATAGGGCTACATTTTGACTTCTCAAAAACTCACACAATACTCAAAGTGTCACTGTTGTCAAAAGAGTCATTCAGTTAAATTGCTTTAAAGCTGCCTCGAGTGGGTTTAAACCCATCTCACCTCTCTGTCCATGGAGGTACTGAGAAGGAGCTCTCTGTTGTCCTGAACACACACTGAGCTTATGTTGAACACGATCCTAATGTGGTTCTGGCCCTCTGAGGACGCTCCCAACAGGCTTCACTTCTGCTTGCCTTCCTTGGTGAGGTCCCACATGATCAGCTCACCCCTACACACACGCAGAGGGAAGTTAGTACAGTGTTGGCAAAATGACTTCTCAAAATACTAAGTATTAGCATGTTGCCGACAAATCATATTTATAATGATTAATGGCACTATCCTCAATTATGTTTTCATAGATCATACCCAAAGCAGCTTGACACGACTTGTGATGGCTTGCCCTTGGGCCAGTACACAGTGAGCCAGATTCTCTCCTTGACCGCCAGATCCACCCCTGTCCCTCTTCTCTTCAGGAACGGCAGCTTCATGTTCATCACACCTGACAGAGGAGGGGGACATAATCATCTTTAACTCCAAGAGATGGGACCCTCTTAAAGAGCATACTGCACCAACTCTCAATAGTTGTATGATAACCATTAAAAGCTATGGAGGATGCAGGTCGATAACTCAGTTAGGTTGTCGTCTCACCTTTGCCCTTCAGCGTGCTCCAGATTCTTATGGTCTGGTCCTTGCTCCCAGATGCAAGATAACACCCCTTCTCTGTGCCCTCTGGTTGTTTTTGAAAATATAATTTTTGCAAAAAAAGGGGTAAAATGTCTTCTGTTAACCAGATCTGATGACTACAAATACTGTAGATAGTCTTCTCAGCATGCCATTTGTCACTGACTGAATGCATTCGGTACAGCATCTTCTAACCCACGGTGTTGTTGTTGGGCGTGCTGTAAAGCACCTCTTCATTGGGCAGTGGGGCCCAGGCCAGGGCGTGGATCTTGTCGTCATGGCCACGGAGACGATGCACCACCTCACCCTTCTTACTGATGTCAATCAGCACAATCATGCCATCTTTGTACATGAGAGATTGAGATACATAGCCATTTGGAATGCTTTCCTGGGAAGTCATTTGTCCCTGGTATTTGCAGTGTGTGATGGATGCATTTTAATGGATGCAGTGAAGTACACTTCTCAGCATGAGCAATTACTACAGCTCAGTTGGTAGAGCATGGCGCTTGTAACGCCAAGGTAGTGGGTTTGATTGCCGAGACCACCCACATGTAAAATGTATGCACGCATGACTAAGTCTCTTTAGATAAAAGCATCTGCTAAAAGGCATATATTATTGTGCACGCATGCACCACTAGAGGTTGTATATCTTACCCCACAGCAATATAGTGTCAGTTGTGAGCAGAGCAGGACAGGCAGAAGATATTCCTTGGTTTAAGGAAGAAGCTTTGAGTTTCACCAGTGTTGTACCAGTAGCAGACCACAATGCCTTTCTCATCCCCTGACACCACAGGGTTCTTCTCCCCGGGGGAGCAGTGGAGGGCTGTGATGGTGTTCTGTGGGCCAATGTTGAGACAGTACTTAGATACAATATTTACACTTAGAAGAACTGTATTTTTCCATAAGCAAATTCATCATACCTGGTAGAGACAGACAAGATGGAATCAGCACTATCCTGAAGGTTTCAGAGTGGAACTAAGCTGGTGAGATTTATGCTCCTTTACTATGAGCTTCTCATCTGTGTCCCAGAATTTAACAGTCCCATCATCAGAGGTACTGGCACAAATATGGCTTTGGCTGGCATGCTCTCTCCCACATTCTGAAATTGCATTTTTGTCCCCCCCCAGTTTTATTATTGGAATGTGATACAAAACGAGGCAACGGTGTGCTTTAGGACAATGCAGACGCATCCGAGTGGTCGGGTAGCTTGTTTGGAGTGTTTATAAGACTGGATTAAAAAAATACTATAATAATAATGTATCCCCCCCCCGAGACCAGACCACAGATAGAAGAAGGAAAACATTACTAAATAGAGGAACATGGAGGAGGAAGACCTGAGGTTGAGGATGATGTACAGTATATAAATCAGGGATGTGTCGCATTTTTCAATTTGAGAATACATTCAGCTAGTAAAAATATTTCTGGAAAATTATTACTGAAGCTGAATCAATGTCCTGATAAAGTTAGCCTACTGTTACACTAAAAACACCACATTTCTAGTGGGATTTTAGGGTGGTTAGATGAAGCCGAATAGTTGCATTTGTTTTCTCATACAGCCAAAACTCAATAGCTCTCACCGCTAGGGTCCATGTGCTTTTTGGTCAATTAATATGACCTATTACATGACAAGATAAAAAAAAGAGTAAAGGGTCATTCCTCGTTTATTTGATTTGAATCTGAAATCAAACAACACATAAACGTTTTTTGTATCTTGTTTAATTGTCTAAAGGAAATATTAAATAAAGAGAAACGGAATAATGATTTGATTATTGAAACGTTGTGTTTTTAATTTTCGGTTCTGTTCAACCCGTGCATCGTACGTTTTGGCCAATTAATAGTCATGGCTTCCTGACAACACAGAAAATGATAAATGGGTCTTTCTTTATGTTTTAGATCTGCATATGTAATCGAATAAACAGATAAGCGTTATTTTATTATATTTTATTTTATGTTTCTCATTCCAATGATTTGATGATTGACAGTCACTGTAGTGGGTCATGTGACCAGTCCTGAGTCCAAATTGGCCTAGATCAGTGAGACAGTCAATTCCACAACTTTTACAACCTTACCGACTAACCAGTAGCCTACATAATTGTGGATAGGTTCTATAACATGCCACCGATCACCACAAGCTTCAGCGCCTACAAGCTTTGACAACATGGCCACATGGGCCGCGGTCTGGTGAAATTCGCGCGTCATGACCAATGATCTATACAGTGGTCATGTCATGACCCATGTAAAACAGTTTTTAGTTTAGCCTATGTCAGGATCTGGCCATTTGTGATGAGCCTATATGCTACATCAATAATAAGGTATGATGTAAAAAAAAATTAAAAATAAAGAGCTCTGATGAAAAACAATGCGCACGTTGAGCATCGGAGAGTTTCAAAGAACGTGTCATACGCTATAGCTCACGGATAGGTCACCGATGCGCAAGGTGCGTAAAGACCAGGGCCCGGTTTCCCAAAATCATCTTGGTATCTTTAGAAACTATGTTTCTAACAATGAACTTGGCCTTAAGATGCTTTTGGCAAACCGGGCTTTGGGCATCGTTTCCCAGAGCCTTCGTATAGTGTTAAAATCATCATTAAAACCATCTTACGATGCATCTTTAGTAGCAGATGTGTTTCCCATAGCCTCCGTTAGTAACGTGGCTCTTGAAACCCTTGCACATCTATGAGTGATCCAGACCACTCATAGAGCAGCTGAAGTGCACCGTTAGGCTTATTTTCTGCCTTCCCTCACAAGATATAATTCTAAAACAATTTATAAGAGTTTTGTGTAAATAGAAATGATCATACAATAATAAATGTTTCATTTGGGTAATGTATAGGCTCTGAACAAAAATATAAACGCAACATGCAACAATTTCAAAGATTTTACTGAGTTACAGTTCGTAAAAGGAAATCAGTCAATTTAAATAAATTCATTAGGCCCTAATCTATGGATTTCACATGACTGGAATACAGATATGCGTCTGTTGGTCACAGATGCCTTAAAAAAAAGGTAGGGGTGTGGATCAGAAAACCAGTCAGTATCTGGTGTGACCACCATTTGCCTCATGCAGTGCAACACATCTCCTTTGCTGTTGATTGTGGCCTGTGGAATGTTGTCCCACTCTTCTTCAATGGCTGTGCAAAGTTGCTGGATATTGGCGGGAACTGGAACATGCTGTCATACACGTCGATCAAGAGCATCCCAAACGTGCTCAATGGGTGACATGTCTGGTGAGTATGCAGGCCATGGTAGAACTGGGACATTTTCAGCTTTCAGGAATTGTGTACAGATCCTTGCGACATGGGGCTGCACATTATCATGCTGAAACATGAGGTGATGGCGGCGGATATATGGCATGACAATGTGCCTTAGGATCCCGTCACGGTATCTCTGTGCATTTAAATTGCCATCGATAAAATGCAATTATGTTCGTTGTCTGTAGCGTATGCCTGCCCATACCATAACCCCACCGCCACCATGGGGCATTCTGTTCACAATGTTGACATCAGCAAACCACTCGCCCACACGATGCCAAACACGCTGTCTGCCATCTGCCTGGTACAGTTGAAACCGGGATTCATCCATGAAGAGCACACTTCTCCAGCATGCCAGTGGCCATTGAAGGTCAGCATTTGCCCACTGAAGTCGGTTAGACCCCGAACTGCATTCAGGTCAAGACCCTGGTGAGGACGACGAGCATGCAGATGAGCTTCCCTGAGACGGTATCTGACAGTTTGTGCAGTAGGGATGTAACGATCCATCTACTACATCGATGTATCGATTTATATTCCTATGATCCAACTACATCGATCTGTGCTCGGCGAGTTGGCCTTTTGGACAACATATATCAATCTAACATCGTTTTAAAATGTAATAAATCGATTGTATTGATACTAGGAAATAACCCATTGGATTTAAGCACGTCAGACTTTATATGGATGTTTTTTCTTAGCACTTTTAATGATAAAGGCTTTAAACATTACTCGATTCAGTCTGCCTATCCGTGACATCATCGCCCCGCGCCAGCAGCAGCGCAAAGGCGCAAAGACAACAAAACATAGCATGGCGGACGACAGAGGAGAAGCCGACGAGCGAGAAATTATCAAGCCACCATTGCGGTCCAGTGTGTGGAAACACTTTGGCTTTTGCAAAGACGGAGATGTTCTAAATAAGTCGCTCGCTGTTTGTAGGATATGTAAAGGTCAAGTAAAGTACAACGGCAACACGACAAATCTCTCCAACCACCTACTAAGGCGCCATGGGATTTCACACAACACCGACCGTCCAGGCACCTCTTGCAGCGTTCCCGCTGCTACAGCAGCGAAAGGTAAAGTCAACTCTGCAGAAGCCTCAGGTCTCGCCTGCATGTTTAGTCAGAGACTAGGCCAAAACTCAGCTCGGGCGAAAAACATCACGGCAACAATTGCCAAGTTTATCTGCAAAGACATGCGACCCTACAGTGTGGTTGAAAATCCGGGATTCCGTGAAATGATTCAAACATTGGAGCCAAGGTACACAATATCAAGCCGACCACACTTCTCAGAAAAGGTTATTCCTGCATTGTACGAAAGTACTAAGAATGATGTGAAGCTGTCGCTTTCTCAAGCTGAACGAGTAGCGATAACGACAGATGGCTGGACGTCATGCTCAAATCAAGGGTATGTGACAATTACCTCTCATCACATTGATCCGGAGTGGAAAATGAAGACCTTTGTTCTGCTAACCAGAGTTTTAAATGAAGCCCATACTGGTAAAAATATTGGCGCATTACTGCGTGAAGCCTGCATGGAGTGGAAAATCTACGACAAGAATCCTGCCATCGTCACAGATAACGCCAGGAATATGATTGTGGCCGGTGCAGAAGCCCAGTTCAGTCCACACATTACCTGCTTCGCACATACGCTCAACCTTGCCTCGCAGAAGGGTTTGGGGGTGGACCGTGCTTCCAGGTTGTTGGGGAAAGTGCAAAAAATTGTTGGATATTTTCACCGCAGCCCGATTGCATGTCACGCCCTACAGGAAAAACAAACTCTGATGGATTTACCAAAACATAAACTGATCCAAGACATAATCACCAGATGGAACAGTTCATTCGAAATGCTTGAAAGTTTTTTGGAACAACAGCCAGCTATAATGGCAACTCTGATGTCCAAGGATCTACGAAAGGGGGTCACAGATGTAGGCACGCTGAGTGAGAGTGATATTGCCAACATGGATGACATTGTTCAGTTGATGGGTCCTGTCAAAATGGCAACCACTGTGATGTGTGAAGAAGACCAGCCAACTCTCTCTTTAATTGCTCCTCTTCAAGCAAAACTGCTGAAACACCTACAGCCATGCGAAGACGACTCAACCCTGGTTGCAGAGATTAAGAGGGTGATGGCCAGTGACCTCTCCACACGCTACAGAGGCACCCAAGATGCTCTCAACATAGGTAATTAATTTGGAGTCTTAATTAAAATCAACTTGGTTAATATTTTAGGTTATTAGACTGTATTAATTTGTAAAATGCCACACCTTTGCGTTTTCAAGTTTGAATTTGAGTTGTTTTTTCATATGGAAAAGTAAACAAGATATCTGCAATACAATTCTTAGTTCATGGTGGCTTTACATCATCACTGTGCCACATTTCTTTTAAACATACTAAAGTTTAATCTTTTGATTATTTTGTGTATGAGGAGGTGGTCATCACTTGCAATTTCAGGTCAACTTAATTTAATAATGCAATGAATGCAATATTCTTGTTCTTTAAACAGCATCAGCGTTGGACCCGCGATTTAAAGAACTGCCCTACCTGGAAAAAGAGGACAGAGAACAGGTCTACACAAAACTGGTTTTTGAGGCAGAAGTGTCCCACCAGGTAACTCTTCTCTCCTCTTTCCTCTGCTCTTTTCTCTTCTCCCCTTTCATTTGTCCTCTCTCAAATCTCATCTGTTCTTTATCTTCCTCTAAATTTATGTGTGCAGTATTACAGAGCAGAAATTTGAACAGTTCACACATTCTTACATCAATAGATGCAAGCAATGGGAAATCAGGAGGAAGACGAGGGAAGCTCAAGCACAAAGCTGTCAGGATTCAATGAAGAGACCACAGGTGTGTTTCATGTGATACCAATAAAAGATTGTTGTTGTTTTGTATTAATGAGAAACATGACTATATTTTGAAATATATTTCTTATATTGTAGCTCCAAATGAGTCACCTCCTTGTAAGAAGAAAGCCTTAGATGCGCTGTTTGGCGATTCCTTCACCCAAAGAGAAAGAAAATCCACAAGCGAGACAGCCAGAGCAGAGGTGTTAAGGTACCGAGCAAAAGATGCGTTGCCTTTGACTGAAAATGCCATGAAGTGGTGGAGATCTCAGGAGAAAGAGCTACCTGTACTTTCC